AATAGAAATCTAAAATAAAATGTAGAGTACATTCTGTTTTATATGAAGAATCTCTACATATATACTTGCTTTTCATAAGCAAATACATCAATATTAAATAAACAAATTGAGAATAAGAGGAAGAACAATTCATATTCGATTTATTTAGGAAGACTAATCACACAAAAGTACAAAATTATAATGCTAGATGAACATGAGAAGCTACGATTTACTATTTTTCAAAATCGAAAATAATTCTATATCAATAAAAAGTATCATTTTCATCTTCATTATCATGCACATCACCATGGGGCGAACTGACATAAATCTGAAAAAGTAACTAAATAAATAACAAAGAAGACCTGATGGCATTTAACGAATGATAGGACAAATCAAAAGAGGGCACCATCTATGGACTGTTTAGGCATTATTTTTCAGCTAAAAATATTGTAAAAATTTCTTCTGGAAAGTATCCGTTGTACACTCTCTTTTCTTAAATCAAGTCTATAATAGCGTGTATTTTCACAGTCACAGATCTCTGTACACATTGTTTCTGCAGTAAAGACTTGCCATTAGAAAGACTGATAACGGTTATGTGTAAGATGCTCTCTCTAACATTGATAAATAATGGAAATACATCTTTTATAGATGTCACTTATTTTCATGTTTTCTTATCCGACAATCTTCTCATTAAGTGATTTCACCTTAAAATGAACCTTTGCAGATCGAAAAGTCATAGAAAGTGTCAAGATCTTCATCTTGAATAATTTCAAATAAATTTGTGCGTTTTTGTTTTTTTGTTTTCATTTTAAAAAGTCATAAAAAATGAATGAGAAGAGAAAAGAGAATACCAACGGGAAAAAACCAAGTAGCAAAGTTTATCGACAGAGCTAACAGCTATTTTGACATTTCGAGCATTGTTTTATTGGACTTTCAACATTGGTCGAAAGTCGTTTCAATCGCTTGTCCAAACATTCGAGAGTTCGACTCAATCGAGACGAATCTTCTCGACTTTACCATAATGTTGACCATATCGTTTCATCTATGCGATCATCTAGAATTAGAAATATAAAACGTATGAACAAACTCTTTCTTTTGAGATAGATTTTTCTGACCGTATCCCATATGTAAAGATCGATGACTTGCTAAATCTTCCGCTTGACTTGTCTCAGGATGTTCTTTGTAAAAAAAAATAATTCATTAGAAAAATCGATTTCGATTGATATTTCCATTCACCTATGATGGTAGATCATCGCCAGCAGGAAACGGAGGATATTTGTTGAGTACATCGACTATCAAAAATCCAAATAAATCAAAGTCAACTAGAACTCGACCCGACATAAATCCTTGTCAAAGTAGAAAATCGGTTTCTCATTTGAGCTTTTCATTCTAATTCAACGTCTGAGCTGGGATCGAATGAGGCCAAACAAAAAGATCATATAGCTGTGAAAATTGACGAAGATCGATCAATTGAGAGAAAACTGAACAATGATATGTCAATATCGAAATTAAATTCAGCTCAGTCGTCGAACATCGAACTTTAGAAATAGACAACAAACATAATCACCATTTTCTTTTCATTTCGAGATATTTTCCCTGAAAGAAATCCAACCGATGACAATTTCTATCGAGCATATCAATCGAAACGACGATTCCACTCAACTCATAAACAAAACAAATCGAATCAGACACAAACATTCGTTTCCTCTTCTCTTCATTGAACAGACGAGAACTAAAACGATCGAGTTTGGACAACTGTAACACACGATAACGATCACTCAACTGGCGAACCTTCTTCAATCACTGGATACCAAGAACTTTCACGAGTGTGAGTGCGGATGCAAAGAAAACAGCACTCACACCTACATCTAATTGATCAAGTATGAAAACTAATATTTTGATAGACATCATCTTTGACTGAGTGTTATGAATATGGATGCATTATAAACCTCTGTGATTGATTCTATGTAGATCAAGATATAATTTACTTAAATGAGATTTTCATCCGTAATTGAAGAGATAGAAAAACTCTTGAAGGTAATGTAATCCATTTTTGAATAAGGACAGTATTGACTAATAGATAACATTGTCGAACGTCGATTGATAGAAAAAGGAAATGACTGATCTTCAGTTTAATTTTTAGGAAACAAAAAGTACACTTTATAAGTAAACTGGTTTTGAATAAGAATAGGTTGCATATGTAGAATCTAATAGAATCAATTCCACTGTACAAATTTCACTATGTGATTGAAAGCAAGAATTTCTCAATAGTCATTTTTTTCGGGTTGGCACTTCAGAACTACTAGTTTCATATATACTTCACAATGTCTTTTCTACTAGTTGATTGAATTCTAAAATAGTGATTCAATCGAACTGAGTTCTATCGATCTCTATTCTAAAAGATGGGATATTTTTAGATACGTTAATTCATGAAAAACACGAATATATTATTAGAATTGATTTCAATTAATTCTAACCTTGAAAAAACTACGAACTAGAAGATTTTCAATCTCATAAAATAGCTAAAACTCGCGAATTCCATATGTCTTGAAGAGGAAATCAAATGATAGGAACCTTTTACTGTTTAAAAAACTCCACAATCCCTACATTATGAAATATATTTAAGAGAAATGTGTCGGTGTCATGTATAATGGTGTTTGAGATGTTATGGAACGTCTACTATTGAACAATACATAATTATTCTTCTCAGACGATGAAAATCATTTTGACACGGTAGTTTAGCTCTATTTTCACCATGAATTGACATTGCCTAAAATGCTGCTTTATATTTTTGCAAAAAATCAACAAATGATCGATTTAATTTATTTTTCTCGATTATTGCCTCTACTAAAGTATGCAATGCATGATATTATTGCATGGACATCTCGTTTCAGTATCTTGTTAGATATCGGTCTCATCCTTGTTATTCCAGTTAGTTCATAAAATCACTCCAGTCGAAGTATAGGCCCGGTAGTTCATATATTAAAGTTTATGCATCTAAACATTGTATTCTCGGTAGATTTCAAGAGAATGAAACAAGTTGTGCATCTTGTCTTATTTGTCTATCGGGTACAATCAATGATGATTCAGAACAGAGATCCAACCAGGCCACGTTCTGAAGGCCTCTACAGTCTGTCAACTTTTTCAAGCGAATAAAGTAATAATGATAGACTAGAAATTAGAGGTTCAAAGAAGGCACTAGGGCTACTATCCTACCCGGCCCTGACCTGCCTGTCCTAGGAACGAGTCACGATTTTCAGACCAGCGTAAATGACAGGCCGACAGGTCAGCAACTTTCTTGGACCTGCGATTGACACTAATCTGAAAATCGTGGCCTGTGCCTATGACAGACAGATCAGAGTTGGATAGGATAGTAACCTTAGTGCCCTCTTTGGATCTCTGGTTTCTAGTCTGTCATCATTCTTTTATTCGTTTGAAAAAGTTGACAGGCCTCCAAAACGTAGCCTGATTGAACCTCTGGTTGATAATATCATTATATATTGAATTAGTTGGACTAGTATTTGTTGTATTGAAATTAGTCATCCTTCCTTTTTCTATATTGTGAAAAATACTCTTTTAAGACCAGTCAATAAAATTCAAGTTGATCAAGACAAATTTATTCAAGTCATCCGATATCTGATTCGTTTGAATTAAATTGATTATTTACAGTTTAAGATGATTAGAATATAATATATTCTATAGTATATATATCAATTGAATTAAAATAAATATTCAACTTTATCGAGTCAAATCGTGTTTCAACGTTAAATTTTCTATTTAGTCCAATATTTAATATGTTTAAATAAATATAATCGATAGTTATTTTAAATAAATAGAAACTATACCAATTAATCAATTGAAAAAGAGACACTTACTCAAAATTAAAGCGTTTTTGTGGCTCTAGGTAGACATTTCAATTTTGAGTGATGGTATCAGTGTGTAGAAAGAATATTAAAATCGTTATCCACATCGCGCTCTATCTGTCATTAAAGAGTATTGATCAACAGTAGAAATAAGGATGTAAGAGTATTTGTCGATGTTCTATGGAATAAGTGTGAGTAGAGATCTTCTCTTAATCAATAGTCGATCTGTTAATAGCTAATCGACATGGAACAAGAGAAAGAGAAATAAAATTAGCTAAATCAATAGAAGAATATTGGCATTATATTATTACTCTAATAGAATAAAAAGAGACTACTAATCATCATGTTGTCTTGGTGGATGCTACACCATCTTCCTCTAAACTATGTTTTATTAAGAATGCATCGCAATAAGCACAACGAAGTCTAGTAAGTTTTAATAATATTTGACCTATTTGGGGAAGTTAATGAAAATAAATTGAGTTCGAACTTAAAACGATGTAACCCATTGTATTTGTTTGGATGTAAACAAGGGAAAAAATGTTTAATGAATAAATCTACTCGGATTTATAAAATTGTTATTGATCGGAACAAGTTAAGATAATGATTAGCATGAAAATGTAATCTTATCATATATGAAGTAAATATTTCTTATTGTTATTAGTTTTTCGTTTGTTTAAATAAAAACTGGTTTAACAATAAAGATGAATGATATAGAAAAAAAGTATTTGTCAAAATAAAGTAATAAAATAAAAATGTTAAAGATAGATAAATGTTAATAAAATAGTTTCTTGTTTGTGAAACTAATCAATTTATTTATTCTTTTGAAAAACTCCTGTCAAACCAAAATGATCTGATGTAAAAAGATGAATGGATCCTTGATTATGAATAGGTTGATTTCCTAATATTTCAATTTGAGTAGGAATAATTGTTTGACTTAATAAAATAATTCTATCATATCTTGATTGGTCTCGTGATCTATTAGAAGATAATTTAATCATTGAATTTATTTCTGTATCAAATGTATAACCATGATTATTTGAACCCATTAAATAAGTCCAAACGTCAATCCATTTAGGTAATAAATTAAATTGATCAATATTTTCTTGACCATCACCACTAAAATTAAAATCTCCCATTAAAATATAACTTGCTGGAGAACGATTAAAATTTTTTTGACATATATCTAATTGAGATGATCGTTCTTGTTTATTATCTAAAGATTCTAAATGAACAGTACCAATACGAATTATTTCATTTTCATCTAATTTTATTTCACCAAATATTAAACGACGACCCATTATTGATTTAGGAAAATTAATCAAATTTAAATTAAATATATTAAGACGAATATCAATTAATAAAACAACACCATACCAATTATTAAATGTTCGACCATCAATATCAGATAAATAATATCGTTCTTTAATAAATTCTTCTGATAAAAGTTGTTGAAGAATATTTGGTGTCACTATATTTATATAGAAATCAAATTAATTTATATAATTATAATTAAAATAAGAAAACAAAACGAACTTTCTTGTAAACCAATTATTTGAGCTTGAGATTTATTTAATATATTACAAAGACTATTAAAACGCATTGGTTGATATTCATCTGAAAACCATATATTATATGTAAGAACACGAAATTTATCCAAATAAATAGTTGGATTATTTTCATTATCTTGTTTTTCTCTCCATTCATGTTTTTCTTTATCATATTTCCATAATGGAATCGAGAATTCTTCTTTTTTCATATTATTATCTATATGAGTTGATTTTTGACCCATTTACATTGAATAAGTTACCATAGTTTATGTCTTTTTATTTTAGTTTTTATTAATTTATATTGAGATTATTCTACGATGGACGATAGAAAACAAAAAAATACGATATAAAACATTTCTATTTGTTCTTATTTCAGACGAATCATATTAGACTTTTTGTCTTTCGTTAAAAGACATAACGAAGAAAATAGTTCGATCTGTTAAAGAGCTCTCTCTCAGATCTATGATATTTATCTTCATTCGAAGAGAACCAATATATTTATTAAATCAATTAAATTATCTTTTTCTTATTTTTAAAATTATGTAAAAAAAAAACAAAAAAGTTATATTTTTTCTCGTTTGTTTTAACTATTAGTTTTCAAATAAACATTCAAATACGGATATTTTTTTTAATTTTCTTATGTTAATAGAAAATCTGACATTTTTCAAGGAATTAATTAAATAATTTATATTTTATAATGAATTATATAAAAAAAAGAAATAAGTTCGATTGAAATATTCATTAAAGATTCAATAAAATCAAATATTATTTTCATTATTTTCTAGTTTTTCATTTAAATGAATCCGAATATTTTTTTTATTAACCCTTTGAGGACTGATCTTTTTTTTTTTTTAGAGAAAAAAGTTTGATTTTCGCTTAGAAAATCAGTTATAGTTGAAAAGTCTGATTGTGAATATATTCGTTTCGATATAATCCTAAAGATATACGATCTTTATATTGAAACAAGAGAAACAAAAGAGAGATCCAACAAATATAACAAATAACAATTGAATAACATATGATAACCAATGTTAATAGAAAAAAATCTCAAAATTTAATTAAAGAATAAAATTTGATTGAAACAACTAATAAAATAAAAAGGTTCATTACAATCTTTAGATAATTGTATAACGTCAATTAATTTTCTTCAACTAATATTTATACATAGAACACAAATTTTCTTAACAGTTTTTATATTTGTTCTTTTATATTGAAGAGATGGAAACTCTTTACCACAAAATCTTGTTTATTGATAAGTCACTCCAGGACGATCTATTCGAGATTTTTCAATTTTCAAACATTTTACGAATAAATTACAAACGATAATCAAAAAACTGAAGTTTATTTCGGATATTGTCTTGATAAAGTAAATATTCCATGAACGATAACGAACTATATCTAGATAAATATATCTATACTCAATCTAGACTATTTAATAACTACTGTATCTCTTACATCCATATTCGAATAACAATTCATAATAAATATTCTAATTTTAGTGTATCTAACCATTTATTTATTTAGTCTATTTTCGAAACTCTATATATATACGGGTTTCATCCACAATCGGTTAAATAATTATCAGATGCTTTAGAACTTGATTTTGTCAAACACATTATTATTTATTATTAAAATAGACAACATTTATGATGTGTCTACATCATTTTAGAATTATAAATACAATTATACACGGTTGGAAAAAATATTATTCCAGGGAGGTAACGCTATAATTTCAAATAGAAGACATAATCAATTTTAAATCAAATGAAAGCTCGTCAAAAATGGGGTTTATTGGTATTAAATAGTGAAGGTTATCAAAACCTTTTAATGTCGAGCTTAATAAATTTTCAGAAATTTTATACTTTTTTTGGGATGGAAAATAAAAGTACTAGTGATTCAAGAATCGAGTAAAATGTTTTTCTTGAATATTTTTACACGGTTCGATAGAGCTCGTCGAGCTCTACAAAACTATATACATTAAAAACTTTTTAAGTCACTTTTTTGCGATAAAAAATTCAAAAAA